GATGTAACTTTTTCAATTATATTTATGATGGTTGTATTTACTTTGAGCACTATTATACTCGTTGTTGTGATACTCTACATGAAATCCTTTACCCCCAGACGTTTCCACCATCCTTGGTTTGGGGGTGTGACAACTTAAGGACTTTATCAAGCAGATTGAACTTCAACTATGAAGTCTAGTCTGAAATGTTCGTAATGATAGTGGTTCAGAGTTAAAAAACCAAGTGTTTGAAGATTTCCTGACTGAAAAAGGAGTTGTTCATAACTTCTTAGCTCCTTACACTCCTCAGTAGAATGGAGTTGTTGAAAGACGAAACAACTTGTTTCACTCAGAATCGATGACTACTCAATAAACGATTTTCCATAACTCCATATAAGATATTGAATAAACGAAAACCTAATGTCAAGTTCTTTTATGTATTTGGTTCCAGGTGTTTTATCTTCAATTCTAAGGAGCAAGATACTGAATTTGATGTAAATGCTGATGAAGGAATATTTTGGGCTATTCTTTGACTTCTAAGGCATATCGGGTTCTCAACAAGAAATACAAACATATTGAATAAACCTATTATGTCACGTTCGATGATAACTTTTTAAAGAAGTATCAGACATTCGAACGTCAATCTAAGGAGATCTTTCCCATGACAAATATGATGACGATTCCTCTATCAAACCTCTACGAAGAATTCATGAACTTGTTTGACAAGCTAGAAAATGTGATCTCTTCAGAATCAAAAGCAGCAAATAACAAAGAAGATGAACTCAAGAAGATTATTGATGATTATACGAATGATCTTGGAAACGAACTCCCTAGTCCAAAGGCCTCTAAGAATCAACCATCGCCACAAGCTATGAATGCTCCTGTTTAGGGGGAGGATGCAGATCCTGAAGTTAGCTTAGAACCACCATTCCAGGGGGAGGATTTAACTCCTCCAAAAAACCATGAAAGTCCAATCTAGGGGGAACATCATATTCTGAATGATGAGCAACATCCATCATTCGAGGGGGAGAATGAGAATGACAATAATGATTCGGATGCTCAGTTGGAGTTTGAGGACGTGAATGTAGAATTGCATCCATCCTATGATCCAAACTATCCTCCTCTAACCAAATGGACTGAGGATCATCCTAAAACACAAGTAATCAGAGAAGCATCTTCAGGAGTTCATACGATAGCACAACAAAAGGCTAAGCAGACTGTATTATTCTCCAAGATGGAATTTTGCATGTCTAAGATTGCTCTTGATCATTCTGATTAGGTGCAAGCAATGAAGGAGGAGCTCAATGAGTTTGAGCATAAAAATGTTTAGAGACTCATTCCAACTCCAAAGGATGTGTTGGTTGTAGGACTAAAATGGGTGTTTTGAAATAAGTTTGATAAACAAGGTAATGTAATCAGAAACAAAGCTTGATTAGTCGTAAAAGGCTATTCTCAAGAGGATGGAATATAATACGAAGAAAATTTCGCACCAGTAGCATGGTTGGAGTCTGTTCGCATCTTGCTAGCATATGCAACTCATAAGAACTTTGAAGTCTATCAAATGGATGTCAAGTATGCTTTTATGAACAAGGTACTAGAAGAAATTGTCTATGTGGAACAGCCAACCGGGTTCGTAAACTTGAAATATCAAAAATACTGCTATATTCTGGATAAGGCTGTTTACGGTCTAAAGCAAGCTTCCCGAGAAGGTATGAAACTCTAACTCGATTTTTAAAACAATCTAAGTTTAAACGAGGCTCGGTCCACCCAACCTTCTTTCACAAGAAAGATGGTGACCATCTGATGATAGTCCAAATTTACGTTGATGATATCATTTTCGGATCTACTAATCCTAGATTAACTACTGAATTTCGAAAATTGATGGAAACTAAGTTTGATATGATCTCAATGGGCCCGATTAACTTTTTCTTTAGATTGAATATTAGATAGAGTCAAAAGGGAATATTCATCAATCAAGAAGCTTATACGAAGACATTACTTGCCAAGTTCGGAATGGTGGGAAATTCGAAGTTAAAGATTTTAATGGCATTCAGAACGAAACTTACAACATCATTGGACAAACCGGCTACTGATATGACTCTCTATCGACAAATGATATGATCATTAATGTATCTAACAACAAGTCTTCCAGACATTATGTTTTTAGTTTGCTACTGTGCTAGGTTTCAGGCATATCCTCGCGAACCCTACATGAATGCAGTTAAGAATATCTTCCGATACTTGAAACGAACTACCTCGCTCGGAATTTGGTACCCTTCGAATTCACGGTTCTTTGTGTAAGCATTCTATGACATTGATCTTGGTGGTTGTGGTCTTGATCTTAAATGTACAATTGGGGGATGTCAATCTCTTGATGGCAAACTAGTTAGTTGGCAATCAAAGAAACAAACATGTGTATCCGTTTTGACTATTGAAGCTGAGTATATCGCAGCTGCTTCTTATACACCTCAAGAAATTTGGATGAAAGTCAGCTAAGGGATTATGGGATTAATATGAAGAGAATCCATTTATATTGTAATTCCGAAAGTGCAATTTGCATTTGCCACAACCCAATGCAACATTCCAAAACTGAACGCATTGTACTGATGTATGATTTTAAAAAAAGATCATGTTGAGGATAGCATTGTTGAAATTCACTTTGTAAGTTTTGCTGATCAAATGGCTAATATCTTTAGGAGATGCTTACCTGAACTAACTTTCAATCAAATTCTTCAAGGCTTTGGAATGATAGAAGTGGAATTAGTTCCTAAACCATCTTCATAATCGAAATGAATTTCCTAAGTTCTGAACCGGTGTGAACCCTTGAAGGTATTCGTAAGTCACTGTTCACAATACGAACCGGTCTAAGCACTCACAATGGCTTGGATTCCACTATTCATCTAACATTCGGAGCATCTTATATCCTTTGTATATTATGTACTAGGTGTGAGACCCATGTAATACATGAGTTTATTGAAATAAAAATTAAATATGAAATTTTAACAATTTGAGAAGTTTGAATTTATAAGAATAATGAGAAAAAAATTTAATTATTAAAGTTAATGAGGCTTTAATACATTGAACACATTACATATATAAAGACTTTCTAATTAATACCTTATATATATATATATATATATATATATATATATATATATATATATATATATATTACATTACATTACATATTAAATGTGGAATTTTAATTTAATAAAATGAAAAATACAATAAAATGACAAGTGGAAAATAAAAATTTTCTAAAATTCTAAAAAATGACATGTGTCCAAATAAAGGAGAAGATGACATGTGACAAAAATATTTTTATTTATTAAGGAGGATTTTCGTTATTTTATTTTCTGTCTTTATTTCTTTTTCAGAAAAATATCAAAATACAAAAATATTTTCGGGCTTTAATCTCTTTTTCAAGAAAATCCAAAATGCAAATTATTTTCTGTCTTGTTTATGTTTTTATCTTTTTCAGAAAATTACAAATTCCAAAAATATTTTCTATATTTGTATGTTTCTTTTCAAATTTGCTTTTAGGTACTAATTCATCACATCAATTCGGAACAATGGGACAGGTGCATAACTCCGATTCTATGTAATAACTAAGCGTCCCTAGAAGCATGTTGTTGCATGTTGACCAAAGCCTCTGAGACTCTATGTTGTAACCTAAATGAAACTTTCACTCCAAATGTTTCTTCCCAATCAAGCAAATATTCACATAAGTCGTTGAGCTACCATACTCTTCTCATATTGAGTTAAGAGGTGACTGATTAGTCATCCGTAATATAGCAGAGGTACATTTTCTCTTCGGAACCACCTAATATATTGTCCATTATCATTCGTTTTCACATTCATAACCCCTGAGCCTCTCAGAAATTACCACTGAGGTTTATGGTGACACAACATCTGTGTTTATGATCTTAAACTCGTTATGACCACGAATTGAGTGAAACCTAAAATACGAAACTAGTTTCTGAATTGACAGTGAACAATTACAATGTTCTAGACTTTTTACCATGGAATTGACGGAATTTAACCCTCATGGTTTGTACCTTGAAACCTCAAATATTTATTTTTGCGAGATCTTAATGGAATGTTCTCGGCCTAATACATTTCTTCCCAAAAGATCCAGTTTTTATTTTTCTTGAGATTTCTATTGTGTCTAGCCACTTAAATATATAAGAAGCATACTTGTTTTTATGGCTACATTGTTCATACAACTACTTCTTCCAAACGTTTGGGCTTATGGTAAGTTTCAGAATTTTGTTGAATATGAAGCCACCCAACGAGCCTAATGAAAAGAAGCCTTTCAATATTTCTCAGCAAATAGATGATCGTAATTCAATGTGATACCACACATACACTTCCAAGTCTCTCTTAACTCTGCAGGAAGAGATCGTTGCCTGGGATCCATCTAATCTTTTTGTTAATTTTATATTGACATCACCGAATCCCAGATATATTTTGTTTTAATTCTTTATCTTTGGCACACTCTTGCATGAAAATCCTCATGATTTTCTAAAGTATGGTTCTTAATTCTGATTGGTTAATTTCGACTTCGAGAACAGGTTCTGATGCATGATGGTGAATTACGAATGTTGTTGTACTCCAAACGTGCTAACTAAAATGGCACCATTTAAGGAATACGATTTCAAAATTAGGCGTGTGCTTTCCTGACATCATGCTTTGTCAGTTATGTCGCGTGACATCATGCTTATCAGTCACAGTTTTTCAGACGACTTTTCCAGGAATTGAAACGACTTACAAATTGCTTTCTCTCTCCAGCCATACTATATATAAGGAAAATATGACGTTTGATTTTCTCACTGCTCTCTTAATCTCTAAAGCAAAATTCTGGATTGTTCATCTTCTTCTTAATTTCATCAATTGTGACTTCTTTTGAAACTCCATCTATGGGAGATCAAACCACTTCATCAAGGCTTTCAAACATTAAAGCTAACCAGAATCTTATCTTGGATCTCGATTTCGCCAAATACCCTGCCTCTCTTCAGCCAATGGTTAAATGTCTTTATCGTTCTCCTTTGGCTACTGCTCTAACCATAGCAGAGAATGTCCATTTGTTTAATCTATCCAAGGTATTCTTCACTACGTGCTATCAAAAAGGTGAGTCTGTAATTAATTTTGAAATCGATTCGCATAAGACCACAATTTCCAAGTCCCGATTCAGTCGGCTGCAAGGGATTTCACAGGCCAGAGATCTAGTTGAACCAGATTCCATCTCTTCATCTACCATTCTAGAGATATTTTACCAAATGGGTTATATGGGAAATATTTCCATCTTAACCAAGTTCAAGAAGTCAAATCTTCCTTCAATATGGAATGGCCTTTTTACCATTCTCTTCAAAAGCTTTTCAGATAGGGTCACAGGCTCCGACAACGCAAGTATGCTTTTCTGCACTATTATCTATGCATTATATCACGTAATCAATCTCGATTTTGGTTCCATCCTTAGGCAACAACTGGTTCAGAGTACTATTTCCACAACCAGACACTCCGAGATCTCAAGTGCTTGATTCTGGTTTGTCGTTGTCCACCGAGCTATCAATCGACTCAACATTCCAGTGATCGAGGGAAGTATCATCATAACTATTCTGATTTTACACACAATGAACTTTATCGTATCTGATCCCTCGAAGTTCGAGTTTATTGGTTCACTTCCAGAAGGGATGCTCAACTATATTCCTGCTACCAATGAGCTTATCAATGAGTATAAGAAGAAACCAACATCTGGTCCTTTCCTTTAACTCCTGAAATGCGAAGGGAGTTGGAAGAAGCAAATAAGCCTAAGAAGGGAGGTAAGAGAAAGGCAAAGGTTGGTCCCACCGAGCCAGTCCCAACTCCAAAGAAGAAGGTCAAGAAGGCAGATCAGAATCCTAGGTCTCCTTCTCCTGTTGTTGAGAAATCTGTGGAGTCTCATAAAATATCGAATGTTCAACAAGCTGAGCAAGTCCAACATAAACCTGATGACATAGCTGCAATTTTGCAACCGATGGCTTCGAAACCGACTCCTATTAGCACCAATCCAGAGGTAACTTTTTCAATGCCTCGATCTGTTCCATTAACATAATATTTTTCCAGGGCCTTACTCCTCCATCTTCTCCGAATCACACCTCTACTCAAACCACAACTCCAATTACCATTGCTCCATGTCCAAACATCTCTGTTGGAGTTTCACAACCTCAAGATTCAGTTCCACTATCTACTCCCTTCTACACTGAATCCACAACAACTAAAACAACCACTAGTACACCGCCAGTAACTGTCAACGTATATGATACGGGGGCAGGTGTTTTTGGTGTCTCTGTTGGTCCTGATTTCTCTCCCATCTCGCCTCTAAGAATTGATGATCCTGATATGGTGTTCAGTGATGATTGGGATTTTTTCCAAGACTTCCACTACAGCCTATTCAACGTCTAACCCTTTAGTGATGATGAAGATGTTCCGATGACAAAGGGGCATATCAAAACCCTCAATGATAAGTTAGACACTATCCTTGAGACTTCTAAATCTTCGTCCAACAATTAATATTCTAATGCATCTTACAAATCTCTATTTGACACTCTCACCAAGGAGGATGCTGAGAATCTTGCTACATCGACAAAAGCCTTTGAGCACTCCGAAAATACTGTTTGCAAAACCACCCAAAAATTCAATAAACTACTACATGATGTTTAATAGTTTATGGAAGACTTTCAAACTTCTTTGGAACGAAACACAGCTGCTGCGAACAAGGCAATTACGAACCTTGGCTCTACACTCCAAACCGAGAAAAAAGTTGTTTCCGAGGTTTGCACTGGCATCCAGCAGATAATGTAGAGCTGCATACATCAATCACTTCAAACATTGAAAATCTTCAAATAGATCTTGCTACTGAGAATGTTCTCATGGATAAGCTTGCCATCAAAACTGAAAAAGTAAAAGTTGTTTCAACCCACCTCTCACATGCCGACAAGGAGATACAAGAGCTCAATTCTGAAGAAGCTGTGGTCAAAAGTGTTGTCACTGATGTTAATCAGTTTTTGCAAACTCTCATCGAGACTCGTGATATTATGCTCACAGTCTCTGTCCCACAACATTTTGCTGACAAACTTTGACCAGTATTCTCTATGCTTGATTAGATAGAAAGTGTTTCGGCATCGACTACTCTTCTGAAACAACGGGGAGAAGCAAAGAAGGCATCTGGTGAAGAAATCAAGAAACCAGCTAGTGGCTCTGATAAGCATGAACAAAAGCTGAAAACAAATGATCCGAAGGGTAATGAAGCTTCGGGATCGAAAGGTAAATAAAATTTTATTGATGATGATGATGAAGAAGAAGAAGAGCAGGAAAATGAAAAATTGAAGTGCAAGTCTCATGACACAGAGATTGATGAGAATCTGCGAATTGCCAAGGAAGCCAAAGCTCGAGAAAAGGAAGCCCGTGAAGCCCAAGTTACCATGGAAACTCAAAAGCTTCTATTTCCTTCCTGGTCTAGGAAGTATACTCAGAACTAATCCGTTGATAATCCAAATGTTGACTGGCTTGAGCCCGTGGTATCGGTTGATTTGGAGAACTCTCTGGATTCGCATCTTGATCTACCAATCACTCCGAAGGCTTTTTGGTTTCATAACATTGCAAATATTGCGAATTATCCTCTTCTGGACCATGATGTTGATGAGGCGATTTTCTCGTTCTATCTCAAGCACATGAAGCCTCGGTACCAAACTTAGAGTTCAAAGAAAATAACCGTTGTAAAGGATTTTGGGCCAATTGACACCGAAAGCTTCCTCAACACCCGTTTTAAAACTGCTTGAGGTGCTGCGAGTTCGGTCTTTGAATTTACACTTGCAGACCTGTCGTGCATTAACCCTTTTGACTGGATTTCTCTATTACTTCTCTTGCTAAAGGATGAACAAAAATATGAACCTATCGTGGTGCATCTCAAAAGGATTTTAGTCTTGTACATCCATGAAGTAACCAAAATGGATGTAGAGATAGTGGCTGTACTCCGAAAGAAACCCATTTTCAAACCTATAGAAGCTTCGTATGATATTTCCAAGATGAAGCCCGAAAGGATTAAAAAAATACAATTTGAGTATGGTTTTTCAACAGGGTGCTAGAGATGGTTCAAATGCTCAGAGATGTTTCTTCTCTCTTTTAGACAAGCATCTTTATTCCACTTCATGCTTGAGCTACATTATGGAATTAGTCGAGCAATGTAGAGAGAATGATATTGCAAGTAGAAATGCTTTGTAGATATGATCAGATGGTATATTAAAGTTCGCATCACCCTGCTCAGTCTCATGCCTAAGATCTTCAAGGTTCAGAAGCGACAACATAACTAAATAATCTTCCTTCCTTATTGACACAAAGGGGGAGATTATTGGGATATTTATGGTGTTGTGTCAATTTTGTTATGCTTTTAATTAGTCTTTATTATTTGCATAATGGGCCTGTCCATGCATCTTTATGAGCTAGGGTTAGACTATAAATATTACATACATGTATTGTATTAGGGTTGATCGTATTGTGATTCCCTACTGTGCCTTTATAGAGAAGTTCTTTATCGAGCTCTTATAAGGCATTCATTCTAATCATTCATCACAAATTCGATCATTGCTTTCATTTTTGATTTACTTTTCTGTTAAGAATCTATCGATCTATTTTTATTTGTTTCAATAGCAACAAGTTGTACGCGGGGCGTACCCAAGTGATACGGTAAGTATACTCAACTAGCAACCATTTCGGTTTTCTGATTTTGGGCCACCTTTTGACTCTAGGGTATTGGGTTCTTTTTAAGCCACCATTATTGTTCAGATGGGCCATTTTAAGGCCTTTGGCCTTTATTTAATTGAGCCCATATTGGGCCTTGAGTGTCTTTTGGATTTGGGTCATCAGCAGGCTTTATGTGCCATTAAGTTTGGGCCACAGTTAATTAGGGTAATTGAGAGGAAGGTGAAAATGGTCTTTTACCCTAGGATTCGGGAATTAAAGTCCCAAACATCGCTTATGACTCAATTATTCATTTTGGTTGTATTTGGTTGGTAAGCACATGGATTGTCTGTTCCAGTAGCCCGAGCATCTGTTGCATTTTCAGCAGACTGATGTGAATTTGCTTATTATACTGTATGACACTATGGATTGTATGTTCTTTTATTCTTTTTGACTCATGTTGCATGTGTTGTATGCTTGTATGCCTATTTTTATATGTATGTAGGGTGAAATAGTCTTGGGGGTGAAATAGACCTAGTACAACCTAGTGCTGACATATGAATTGAAATAGACTTGGGGGTGAAATAGACCCGATACAACCTTGAGCCAACGTATATGTATGTTTTGCGGTATTTTAGAAAACTCGCTAAGCTTTATGCTTACAGTTTATATTTATGATTTCGGGTATTTTCTGTTCGAAAGAGAAGGGCCCAACGTGATCACAACGTATCTACCCATGTTTCTTTAACTTTATGATTTTGGGATTATGCGTTGATAACTATTTTTACTCTGTTATACTTTTGAATGATTAAAAAAGATAAACGGTGTTTATGGTTGAATTAAAAATGAAAATTTTACCTTATAAATTTTGGGACGTTATAAGTTGCTATCAGAACCTTGGTTTTAGGTATTCGGCCACACCCCCTTCAATCAGTGCCTTGGTTTTAGGTATTTGGGCTCGATGTTACAAGTTGGTACTTGAGGTTGGCTGATTGCATGCATCACACCCCCTTCTAAAAAGATTTTTATAAAGAAAATCATCATGCCCGAATACCTAAAACTTGTGCCATGGTTTTAGGTATTTTGGAATTACTTACTTGAGGTCGGCTGATTGCAGGCATCACACACCCTTTTAAAAAGATTTTGATAAAGAAAAAGAGGGTGTGATGCATGTAATCAGCCGACCTCAAGTAAGTGATTCCTAAAATAACCATACATGTTCATTATTATATATATTATGAGAATTATATGCTAGAATATGGGTAAGAATCTACTCATGATTTCATGATTAGGAGAGATAACTTTATAGGCCTGTTGTTTGTGCTTTTAGAATTACATGCTCGTATGGATTTCAAATGATTGGGATAGAAAGGCCTTATTAGGTGATGTGTTGGTTGCTTTTCTTATACAACTAGTACAGAACTGCGCTATGGACACACAAATATTTAGTGTGACCATATGTATCACCTTTTAGCTACTTTGTCTGTTATATGACTAAAAAAGCACCAGGTTATATACACACAAATAACTAACTCATGTGATGATACTTTTATCTACTGCCTCTCATAAAAAAAGTATGACAATCTTAATCGATACTTGTGGCTAATTGTGACCTATGGTCTCAATGTTCGAGTGTGACTAATATTTGTCACATTTGATATAATTAAATGTGGTTAAAGTTTTGATTATCTATATAATGGCCACACAAACTAATTTAAATGTAATCAAAAACAGTTTCTAAATTTTTTTAGTGACCTTTGGCCACACTTTTAATAAAAAATATCACAGGTTGTTTTTCGGAAAGTGTGACCGTAGATCATTTTTGTATTAGTGAAAATTTAATATGTCCAAAACTATACACGATATCCGACATGAATGAAGTCGGAAGCTATGGATCAAGGAGTATGATGTCTCGCAAAGCAAGTTTGAGATAAAATATAATGAAATGTATGACTATTCAGAAAAATATAATATTTGAGAATGCTTAAATAGAATTTATTTACTCCTAAATACCCAAAAGATTTAACAATTTACTCAAATTCCAAACGCTAGTAATTTTTATGATTACACCTTTAAATTAAACCCGTATATGAATACCTTTTATCCTTAAAAACGATATACGGCGTTTGTTATATTTCTTCTTTGAGAATCCAATAATTTACAAAGAAAAACAAAATGCAGAAATGGTCAAGTTTTTTTGTTATTTTCTCCACCAAACCAGCCCCAATATTTGATTGAACCGACCCATTATTATAAAGTTATAGAAACAAATTAAATTGTTTCCAAAACCCATCATGACGTGTTGAACCCTTTCTTTAAAAACCTTGTTTTCTGTGAACAACCCTTCTCTTTCACCTTTCCGTCACCACTTCCAACTTCATTCCCTCTCCCAACATTCTTCAGCTCCCATCATCATCAGCTTATCCCCCACCTGAACTTTATCAACAAAATCGGTAGAACATCGGCACGAGGGTGACAGTTCTTCTCGTTAAATACGCAACCGAAACCTAATAAAAGAAAGTGGGGAAGAAGGTAAAATAACTCAATTATCATTTTATAATATCATAACTCTTGGTGTTTCTTGGTTTTCATATATTTGCTGTTGTAAAACGAAAGTGCTTGCTAAATTTGATACAAAGATCTGATCGCTGACTATTTCTTTGATTAAATCAATGTTAATAATCTTTATATACTTTTTATTTAATATCTTTATCATCATCATTTTTTTCTTGAATCACATTTCTTTTGTGTACTTAGTGGATTTTGAGTTGCAGGGATTTATGGGTTTGGAGAATTTAAGCTCATGCAAAGAGCGTTATGAAGAAATAGAAGAAAAGAGTAACAAGAAAAGTTCAGAGTCGGATCAGATTTTGGACGTAAAGTCTGATAGCTTCACAGTTGATATGGAACCTCTCTCTCATCATAGCAACAAAGATCTCACTCATAGTTCAAGAATTAACGTAAGTTAATTGCTAATGATTGTGCTTTGAGTGTTAAATGTATTAGATTTTATATTAAAGATTCATACAAATTGTTGTTGACAAATTTGGATGGGAGTGATATTAAGTTATCATCATTTTCACTTTGATACTTGTACAATCAAGTTAGGCCTTTCTCCTAACGAAGGTTTACACTTTCCGTGAACGTTAGCGGAAAAGATATTACTTTATTACTAATCATCATATAAAATCTCAATAACTAGGACACATAACATGAGGATTTGTCCTTCAAGAGTTTTTCTTTACTACTTTTTTTCCTATTATGAATTATGGAAATAATATCATTTAATTGAGAAACCCGAACCTCTTGAGTAAACAATCAAACAAGTTGACTATTGTGAAGATACATCAGAAATATAGGTATTTTCTTTGTTTAAAATTCAAAGTCCACTTGACTCTCTTTATCACAAATGAACCCTTCCTTTACGTTGAATAAATTATAGAATAAACTAATTATGAAAGTAGAAATCACGTTAAATTTTTTTTTTTTGTTTATATATTCACTTATTCCTTCCTCAAAATTTTGATACTTTGTAGATGGATAGGAGTCTATCAAGAAAAGGGTCGCAAGTAAGGGCTGAGAAGAAGATGAATTCGAATTCTCTAATGAATGATAGCAATGGAGATACAATCCCCACACCTAAAGGTCACATCCTATTAATTCCTTCATTATATTTTTTAATCAATTTCATGATTTGTCATTCACTCCTTTTAATTTGCTATAAATATAAGATGGCCAAAATGTTGTTTTGCTGCTTCGTATTCCTAAATTTTAAAAACAAATTGTGACCAAATTAGTTGAGGTTATCCATAGTAATTATCGTTGCCGAATATATGTTTGACAATTTAGGCTATATGGCACACCTAAGGGTCCCCGCTCGATATAAAAAATAATCAACATGATATATGTTAACATCACTTTGTGGACAATGAAAAAAGACAATCTGTAGCTTTGTAGCCCGAGATTTCTTATGGATTCTCACATAATTACCACGATGGAAACTATGAGAGTTAAAAGTAGACGTGTTCATGAACTTTAATTTAAAGGTAAAGAACCCACAAAAATTGGAATACATGATCACTCATCAATCATGAACTTGAATGAAAAAGAAACGCACAATAACAATATCATATTGCTTTGGTTTTAACTTTTAAATGTTGTTCACAAGTGATGGATTCAACTGAATTTATTTCCATGGAGTCTTAAAAGACTATATATCATTAAGGATAAGTATGATTGCAAAAGTGCAATTATTTTAATATATATAAATAAAAAGTGGTGGATACTAGAAAATGTCATTACTTTTTGTTTTTAGCGTTGATGAATTTGTGTGCATTGGACAGCTGCATTGATAGCGGGTACCATGCCAGAAAAGTTGATGTTAGTGAAACCGAACACTGATCATATCCTCGACCCACAACACCACCATCAAATCACCATCATGACCGGTGGCAACACCACCACCACCAAACCTACCGGAACACCACTCAAAAGCAGTCTTTTTGGGAAGAAATCAAGCAGTTTTAAGCTATCCTCCATTATCAATCCAAGAAGAATCCTCTTCTTCTTTGCTACCTTGTAAGCATAATATTAAGATCCCGTTTTGCTAAATACAAGAAACTTTGCATTGCAATGGCCTTACAAAGTGGGAATCTAAAATTTCTGTCAATCATTTATGACAGGTCAAGCATGGGAACCATCCTACTCATATGGCTCACGCTCTCCATGGCTAAGTACAATGAAGATGACAACTCGCACGCAGCAAACCAAACATAGTATCCATAGTGTTTATGAGTGGTGGATTTTTTTTCTTTTTTGTGACTTTGCTGCATTGTTTATAGAAAAGAAGAAGACAAGGATGAAGAGCACTACGACAAAGATTTGGAATCTTCTTATTAAATTAAGAGTGATGATGAATGGTGGAAGAGATATCAAGTAAAAAGCGCTAACAATGACATATTGACATGGGTCTGGATACCTTTTGTTTGGTGCCAGAAAGTGTAGTCTTTTTTTTTTTTTGTTCCTCCATGCCATTCTGTATATCCATTTCTCCTTTTTGAATTTGTAGTTTAATTCAAATACCACCAATGGTTTTTCCATGTGAGTTGGGATCGATCAGTTCATGGTATATATTTAAAGAAGTTGAAGAAAAGAAATTAAATGAAATGAAAAGACTCGTACCCGGATTTTGTATCTTGAGACCAAGAAACGGAAAATTGATCCACAAAAAAATCTTATGTGTTATGTGAATGTGCATTATTGCCACTACCAAGACATAGCAATAGAGTCGCATTCTTAAAAGGTCGGATAGATTCTGCAACATAAGTATGTTGGAAATAATAGAATTATATACAAATACAATTTAATGTGAATTTGTTAAATGCATTGAATAAATATATTAAAAATTTATTTTTATAGCCAAAATCAACTTTATTATCAATAACACAATCAAGATCTCTGACATATGAACATCCAAGGTTTGAAGAACCATCATAATCTTGCTGATGCTCATCCACATAGAAAACTTCTTTCAAATTGAGTACATGTTATGACAGAAGCAGACAATCAACAGAATAACAAATATATAACAAACGGAATTCAAATCAAATATAAATACAAGAAGTAGTTCACAGAAAAAACTTATTTGAATGATGATTACACACCAAATTACAATCTCGAAATTTGTAGAAAATTGAGGCCACACGCAATGTCCTACAACAAAAATTCTAGGGTATGAATATGCCTTGAGGACAAAACAATCAATCCAAGAAGTGATATTGAATCTGTCATAAATTTCAATGTTTCTTTCATCTTTAGAAAAACGAATTTGGAAGAGTTTTTGCGCTATGATATGATTTTTGTAATCCTCCACAAATGACTAAAAACAAATATTTATAGGTTTTGATGATGACAATTGGAAACCGTCAAAAATCGAAAATAATTGTCATAATACCTGTCAAATTAGTAATTATGAATTTAATAAAAATAAAAATTAATTTCATAATTGAAAGATATTTATTTAATCAAGAAGACCCCAAAAGGCCCAATGCCTATCTTTTAACCATTAAATATTATCTTAATATTAACCTAATTTGAATCAAATTAAGCTAGTCCAACACCACAACCCCAACCCATTAATGTTAGCCCAATGTTTTATCCATAATGATAAGCTAATGAAGCTTATATTTATAAGGATGAGCTTTTTCTTTCTTACTTCCAATGTGGGTTAAGTCCCACAATGCAACTTATTAAACAAAGTCCCAACAATACCTTACATATTCTATTCAAACCCCCAAAATACCCCACATTTGAATAGAAAGTAAGAGGACTTTGATATTCAAATAAGGGAAGTAAGATACGACATACATCTGAACAGGTGTTGTAAAACTTGAACCTTTCATAGTGAGTACTAATTTGAACTACTTTGTGGGTAGTGAACTAGAGTCTTGAACTAACCACTTTTTATAGTCAAATCAAAGACAAAAAGTATTACACATATCACATCTAAGCATAGATCATTTCTTATCTTTGTGTTCATTTAGGTCGTGAACAATCCTTTCTTCATGAGACTTTTAGAGAGCTTAGTCATATCAACTCCTAAATATATGACCTCACATCCATCTCACATAGGTAATTCTAAGTTGGAATAATCCATACTATTCCACTATAAAAGCTATAAACATTATTAAGAATAAAGATTTATCTCTATATCATCAACAGATAACACAAATAAATATCATAGGAGTGAGCATGTAACATCTTGTTTTGAGAAGTTCTTATTTAAGGATTGTGAACAATAAATGGATCAAATGGAGGGTTTGGGCTTCAATTTAATGAAGTTTAGACTTTATTGGCAATGTATGATGTTGGAAAAATGATTTAAACATTAGATTATTTGATGGAAGCTGATGGCTAAAATGGGAAAGGTTATGTTTCGGGCTTCTTGCATAAATTAAGGATTTTAGTTCGAGATATTTTTAGTCATAAGGATCAATATAGAATTATAGAGCTCGTCGTTAACTTTTCATGGACATAAAGATCATCAAAAACGGAGTTAAAACAACGAAGTTATTGCTGTTTGAAGTTAAGCTGGAAAATTTTTTTGGTATGCTGGGCATAGACTAGCTAGTATGATGGGTGTCCTAGGCTGAAGGAAGTCACATTTTTCGGGTGTTATGTTGGGCATACCGCTGCAGTCCAAACACCCTATTTTCATGGTTTTGAGCCCTATTTAAGGACTTTAACCCCTTGGGGTCCTTCCTTACATCAACTTGCATCCACTTGAGCCTCCAACTCGAAACCCAACCCCTAGATCAAATCTTGTGCCTCTCTCTGTGCTTTTAGTGCATTTTGTAGGAAAGAGAAGTTGAAGCTTATTGATTGTTGAAGCTCAAGGTTGTAGATCAAGAGCCTACATTGCTTTTCTCAACTCCAAAATGTATAAAGCTTGAATCTTGATGAAGCATTTGTTACATCTAGCTAATTTTAGGTTTTATGAGCTCTTTAGTTACTTTAGTGCATAAAGTTTATATCTTGAAAGTTTTTAACCTTTTTATGGATAAATTTGGAAACTTTATCTATCTAAACATTATATCAATTCAGATTTGAAGGTTGGAGATATTGACTTAATGGATTAAGTTGAGAAAGATGCACTTTTGGTCCCTTTGAGACTTACAGATGAGATCTTCGTTGTTTGGACCATCCTTATCGATAGAGTTGGAAACTTTATCCATTATTGAGATATTAGGAGTCATAAAGATGTGATCTTGGTACCTTTTTTCCATCCATGCAATAGTCATGATGCTTTGGTTTGTGTATTTAGTTAGGATTTTGGTGTATAGTCTCCTTCTTGCCATGGAAAGTTACAAAGATGGAAAATTTAAAACTTAGAATGCTATTTAGGACTAGATTTGAGGTTTGGACGTGAGATCTTAATGAAATAAGCACTTAATGGAAGTAAATGGAGTTGGTCGAGTACGTTGGGCGCACTTGGTAGTAAGTTGAGCATACCAGGCTGGAGCCTCATAATCAGGGAGGGATCTACTACGTCGAGCGTAGTGAGTGAGTATGCTAGTCGTACTCAGTCTGTGTTGAACTCCTTTGACTTTTTTACTTTAGAACTTTGACCAGGAATTTGACCAAGATTGACCTAAGAGCATTTTGGGTAATTTGAATTATAGTTTGAGATTCGGGACCTTGTTAATTTATAGGTGATCGGTAGAGATAAATTTTGGTGAAGTGATCGGTGCAACTATTCTTTCAGATTGTAACGTGAGTCTCTTCATTGTACTTGTGGGTTGAAGGCACCAATGTCGGCCTACTGGATTATGTTGTAGGATAGTAGTGGTCTTTGTGACAGTTACTGATATGATTTTATGTGCTTGTTATCTTTGTGACTATTACTAGTATGATTGTATGTTATATATATAGAGCCATACTGGGCTCAGAGTCATCATAGACTTGGGGTTGATATAGACCCAACACAACTACATAGTGTTGCATGGAGTCATTATGGACTCGGGGTTAATACAGACTTCAGGGTTGATATAGACCCAACACAACCATGTGTTGTTATATTTATATATGTGTGTTATATGTAGTACTTTAGGAACTCTCTAAGCCTTTTTCGTACAATTTAGGTTTATGGTTTCAGATACTTCCATTTTCAAAAGGAAGCGGTTGACTTGATCACACAACATGCCCTGGAGTTTTTTTTTCCGCACTGAATGGTTAAAAATTACTTTGATGTTTTAAGAATACTTTAACTTTGATCATCTTTTGGAACAATGAATGAATGGATTTGTAACGCCCGTAGATCCGGGTTAGTCAATTTAGAGACAATAGGCGTCAAAAATGAATTTTTGATGAAAGATTATTTAGAATGAATAATCTTAACTAACTTATAGTATATGTTACAAGGTTTTCGTGCATATAAAGAACGCCGAAATCCAAGTTATAACGAAGAAGTTATGACCTGTCGAAGTTTCGCGATGGAACCGGCACGACGCTCAATGACGTAAAAAGTGAATTTACGTTAGAGTGATATTTAGCCTTAGCAATCTAAATGAAAGTCATAGAGTTTGTTATACCATGAGCGTGCATAAAAAGAACGTCCAAATCTGACTTCGTATGAGGAAGTTATGATTTTTCGAAGTTTCGATTTAGCGGTATACAACCCGAATGCTCGATTTGAGACCGAGCGGTTTTTAGCCGAAACAATCTAAATGAGAATCGAAGGTCTCGTTAATTGTAGTAAAACGATAAAAAGACAGGCGAAAACGGAAGTCGGATGAAGAAGTTATGAATTTATAACGGAATTTTCCTGTCCCGGCCTACTAAAAATAAATAATAAAAATAAATTCGAAATTAGCCAATGGAGTCCAAACGAAAGTTGTAGATCGTGGTCTCACCTACGCGGGGATATAAAGAACGTTGAAAACGGAGCTCGTATGAGGAAGATATGAATTTTTGAAATTTATTAAATAATTAAAGTATTTAAATTAAATAAAAATTCGGATATTATCCACAGGGGGGGAGGCACCGGGCTTATCCACATTACGCCCAGCGTAATGTAGATTTACGCCCAGCGTAATTCATGTTCCAGCCCCCTATAAAAGGGTGTCGAGGGCAACCGACTTCTTTGCTCATTTCTTCTCGTTTTCTCGCGTTTTTGCATCGTTTTTCGTGCAAGAAATATCCCGAAGCCTCGGTATCATTCCCGAGCCCCGAAGCAAGTCCCAAGGCCCCGAAGATCCCAAGAAGTGTGATTCCCGAGCTGAAGCTCTGCCCGCGAGAAGCCGATTTTTTTGAAGATCTTCCAGATCTACCAAAGAATACTACTTCTACAAGCCGTAGTGCTGTCCGATCATCTTCTGATCAGGTGAGTGTGTGGTTACTTTCTTCTAAACGCATAATTATGAAGTATTTTATACGAAATACGTGTTATGTGTATATTTTTTGTTATATGTGTGAATGTATATTCACTTTCTTCTACCTCATTGATACGATTTATTCTCTATGAAATACGTGTTATGTGTATATGTGTCTTCTGTTGTTTTGGAATATGTATTGAATGAGAATGCTACACAGGTTTTAAACTATGTATAAAAATATATATATTTTTATCTACTAATATGTCGGGTAGAGCATGGGTAGATAGTTGTGTGATAAACAGATGAGAGGCC